GCGCCTGCCCCCTCCCCCTCGGAGCCAACCCGCTCTTGCAGGGCGAAGCTCCAGCCTCCGCAGAGGCCGGTGCACAGCGCTCGCTAATCTGGGTCAGCATGTGACATTAGTGCTTATGGACGGGGGCGGATCTGGCTGAAGTTTAGAGGGCTGAACGGCAAAACTCGACATTTGGCGTAACATTAGCCTATCTGAAGGACAGCCTCCCCCATGGAGCCGTAGGCCACACTGATCCGAAGCCGCAGAAGTGCCGCGTGGAGCCTGCTCTGGGGCCACTTGGGCGTGGGAGGGCTGTAGGAGCCGGGCCGCGGCGCAGTGCCCGTGGGCCGGCGCTCGGCAGCCCACCCTTCAGGCGTGTGCTGCACTGGAAGGAAGTCAAAGAACCCGCTGCACCTTCTAGGGAGGAGCCAGCAAGCTTCCTACCCTGACGCCCAAAGTTTGCAAGTGAACCACCTGAGATTCACAGCAAGGCCAGGAAGCGTTTTGTGGCAGGTCTCTTTCTGAAGGATTTATTTGTCCTTTGCTGAAGAGATCTTCCGGAGCGGCCACCTAATAGACCCATAACACCAGATAGATACCAGTGGAGCACACACTTGGATGGAGGCAGAAGAAAGATCCACGTGTGTTCGTGGACCCCAGCCTCTGCCAAGGCCATATGTTGACACTACCCTGCCTTTCTGCATTGTATGCATTCAGGGGAGCCCGACAGCTGCCCTTAGCTCCAAAGACAAAATTCATTGGTGAGAGAGTCTGAGCAAAGGGCAGAGCAATTTATCTGGGAAGCCTTCACGATGGCGTTGTACAATGCTGCAGCCTCGCGTCCATGTGCCTCCACACTGACAACATACAAACCCTTTTTGTCCCGCTGAGTCCACACATCAGCGTGGGCAGCAGGGGAGGGCCAAGCCGCAGGGTGGTCGGCTCTGTGGGGACAGGAGGGCTGGGAAGATGATCCAGACCGCCCTCACGGGTGCACAGAGAGCACCCTTCCCAACTCAAAGGCCAACGAGTCCTTGAGGAGGTGACAGTGGCAGGCTGCAGCCACGCAAGGGAGCAGGCATCAGGGAGAAGCAAGGTTTGTGCAGACAGCCAGCCCCGGGCCAAGCCGAGACGCATGGGCATGGAGAGCGGCCTTCTGAGAGGGCCCGGGACACCAGGGACCTGGCCCCATCAGGGTCCTGCTGCCCTGTCCGCCCCTTGCTCTAAGCAGGGGCAGAAAACACTGCCTGGAGTGGCGGAAGGACTGAGCTCTCACCGAAGCTCTGGGAGGCCCTGGCAAAGAGCCACCCGGGAGCCTGGTGCCAGGCTCATGGGGCGGACGCGGCAGGGGACAAGAGCGCCGGGAGCAGCTCCTGCATCTCCCCAGACAGCCTCCGCCGGAGCCTCGAAGGGGCTCTCCTTTCCACTCCCCGAGGCTCTGGCAAACGCTTTCAAGGCTCTGCTCGTGCACTAAGGCGAGTCGGAGCCCATGGGCGCGACACGCTCTACTCTGCGTTTCAGAGGGTCACTCCGGTTCCTCTGAACTGAACTTTTCCCAAAGGCAGAGTCAGGAGCGAAGCACACCAGCAAAGACCCGCTGACCCAGGGAACTGGCAGGGTGTAATGAGGAAGGGCTGGCGTAGGCTCGCACTGCTCCTCGCACCCTCTCCCTAACCACCCGCTGCGTGCCACTGCCACAGACGGGGCACGGTGCCCTTGGGGGGATGCTGACGGCCCCCAGCGCTGGGGCACCCTGCGGTGGAAAGCACCGGCCCAAGAGCTGGCACAGCTCACAGCTGCTCACGCGAAGGATGCCAGGAAGAGACGGCATGGCACCTCTCCCCACTCAAGGCAACAGTCCTGGTATTGCCATTTTCTACTGGGTTTGATAACTAACCTCCTTGGTGATTTCCTAGCCTAAATAAGCTATGAAAAGGGTGACTTTATGACAATTACTGATTTCCAAATGATTTTCTAGACACAGCCCCCCTGCTATCGGATCTTCATGCACTGCACGTCCTTGGCACACAACTGACCCCGGGCTCTCCTCATCCATCCGCACCGCCGCCGAACTCCCGGTCCCCGGCCACGCGGCAGGCCC